GGTGAGCTGCTGCTGCTTGCACTGCCCTGCACACATTTTCTGCTCAAAGGTCATTAATCCAGAGAGGACAGACTGCATTTGCTAGAAACCAGGAAATACTATTCTGTCCTAGCAAACCTATACACAGTCATTTTATTGACTAAACAATTAATCATTCTGTTTGTCAAATGTTGTGAAAAACATCTGTTGTAATTTCCAATAGTCCAAGGCGATATTATATTTAACTAGCTTGGTTTTTTGTTTTTTTACCAATAGTCCAGAATCCAAACATTTTCAGTTTACAGTCATTTATAATTCTGGAAAGCAGCTAATCTTAACATCCGAGAAGCTGAAAATATCAAATTCAACTGGGACTACAGTGAAGCTCAAGATTTATGTTAATATATGGTTGTGTTTTTTCATAAATATCCGTACTGTGTGTGGTATTTGTTGTCCAGTTTGCCCTATAATACTACAGATTCTGACAGCGTTGTTATGCAGTCTTTAGATTAACCTTTTGTTTTTCTCCTTTGTCTCTGTGAACAGATGGCCTCAGCAACAGCAACCTATGGACAGAAGGAGACTTCGGATCAAAACTTTGACTATATGTTCAAGATCCTCATTATTGGCAACAGCAGCGTGGGCAAAACGTCCTTCTTGTTCCGTTATGCTGACGACTCCTTCACGCCGGCCTTCGTCAGTACAGTGGGCATTGACTTCAAGGTGAAGACCATCTACCGGAATGACAAGAGGATCAAACTGCAGATCTGGGTGAGACATGAGGAGATGTGTTGTCATTCAGAGTTAGATGTAAATATCTAGTGAATGTGCTACTGAAGCTGGAGTTGAATGAGTGTGTTTATATAACAGATCTTTCAGTCAAAAGCTGCTTAGGATTATTATGCAGTGTAAGTTTGTCCTGGCCGACATAAAGCAGACTGTTGAGGAGACAAGAAACGTTACCTCTGATACTCAAAACTCAAACTTTCTAAAAATCCATTTTAGGACAGATTTGCTGATGTTGTCAGACAGTTTGTGCACTGTGGACTACAATGGTAGACACCCAAACTTGACTCCTTGGGGTCCCCAGTGGTTATTGGATGGTCACACCTGTCTGGCATTGTAAATGGGAGACCGCATCAGCCCACTGCACCTTATGATACTCGTGAAAGATTTAGGAGTATGATTTGGTCATGTGTTTTAATGAGTTCTCATGATACAGCAAATAACATTTCATAAGATGTTTCATAACATGTTGAACAGCATTATCTGCTGCTCTTTGAGACGCTGCCCTGCAGTGCAGTTTTATTATGCCAACTGTCCTCATATTGCAGTGAACACATGCATTTGCATGCAGCACTGTCCTCTCTGCAGCCTGCTGCAGCCAGCTGTTCCTTGGTTGGATAGAATACTATAAAATATATTAGAAGTAATGATAAGCTACCAAAACACTGACCTGCCCTTTCAAACAAAGAGGATGGTTTCTGATCAGTCATGCTGGCTCCTGAGGGATCAGTAAACTCATTCAAAGCTGTAAAGAGCAGAGCAAAGTATTCTGCAGGAAACAGTTTCAGTATCACATTGTACATCATAACATCATTTCCACCTTTACTATACACTCTGCAGAAGACAGAGCCCTGATGGTGAGCAGCGCATGGTCCGTGTATGAGGGAGGGGAGGGGAGCTATGTAAGAACTGGAGACGCGAGAGCAGCTCCGAGTCATCTTTTTCTCATGCTCTGATTGGCCAATTGTGTCTTCCTTACCAGAGGCAAGACCTGACAAAGGCTGACAACAGAGGCAGCCATACACACAACACACACACACACACACACACACACACACACACATAATATCCCCATCCCCCATCTCTCAACATCTCAGCTGAGTACAAATGAAAATGGTCTGAGTCATGAGCTCTAACTTCAACAAGCAGTATGTATACATGCATTTCACAGTGTTTGGTAAATCTTATTTAAATAGACTTATATGATGTTTGTAATACTTTATAATTACAATGGACTGTGGGTTGCATGCTTGTGTAACAATACATTTTGGTGTGTCTTTCTACCTCAGTTTATTTCAGCTGTTACATCAAAACCATTACTTTTTCCCCTTAAAATTCAACTAGCCGTTATCTATACCGCTTATCCCAAAGAGGGTGGCTGGAACCAGACCCAGCTGACATTGGGCAAGAGGCGGGGTCCACTCTGGACAGGCTACCAGTTTATCACAGGGCTGACACTTAGAGACAGACAACCACACACACTACTATGGGCAACTAAGAGTCGCCAGTCAACTTAAGCAGCATGTCTTTGGACTGTAGGAGGACGTCAGAGTACCCAGAGAGAATCCACACAGGCACTGGGAGAACCTGCAAACCCCCTAAGTCAGCCAAGGCTCGCACCTGGAACCTTCTTGCTGTGAGACTACAGCGCTAACCACTGAGCCACCCTTCCCTTAAAATCCTTTAATTAAAAGTAAAACATAAAAGGGAAGACTATCTAGCAGCCTCCATGACCCCTGTTTTGTGCTTCTGTCATATCCTAGGTGCTCACCTTAGTTAAAACATACAGGCACTAACTGTATCTTGCCTGCTGGGAAATGAACATTGTTTAAACAAGATATTTGCCCATCTCTTCAGCTGTTTTCAGAGCTCATAGTGAATGCAAAGAGGAGTACTCCAGTGTGTTCATTATGTAACACCACTCAGTGCTACCTACACTGTTATTTTGGATGTAGAGCTCTCTTCCTGAGCAGCCTGCAGCACACTGAGTGGCTGAGCAGAACAAGAAAGAAACTGCAGCTGCAGTATGAAAAGTGAAGTACAGAGCTGTAGATGCTAGAAATAGATGTCTTACAATATCCTTGTGGCCTGACAATGATCATGTTTGATTGAGTGAATAGATAGAGCCAAAGAAACGAAAAACAAAAGCTAAGAAATGTGAGATGTATGTGTGTGTGTGTGTGTGTGTGTGTGTGTGTGTGCACTTGCCTAGTATTACTCGCATTGTGAGGACTGAAATCTGTTTACTCCTCCACACTGTGGGACTTGGCTTTTCCAGGACACAGCAGGTCAGGAGCGTTACCGCACCATCACCACGGCTTACTACCGAGGAGCCATGGGCTTCATCCTCATGTATGACATCACCAACGAGGAATCGTTCAACGCTGTTCAGGACTGGTAAGTGATTGGCTGTGACTCTACAGATTCTCTAGCTGTGGAGGAAGTGCTGTGCAAATGATGGATCAAGTGGCATCTAGATAATCGGTACCAGTCTGAAAATAGATGTAGAGATACTGGAGACTGATGAACAGAGTAGGTGAGCTGGTTCAAGTTTCTGTGTGGTCCACAGCAGCTACTGCTTCTGTCTGCAGAAAAATCAGATACTACAGATATCACTACCTTTTATCCAGCCAGGACTTCAGCTTGGTCATTAACTGTGCCCTTTATCTCAAATAACATTTTACAGGCAATAGTAGAAAACGAGGGAGCTATAATTAAAGTTTATTGTGCAGGGTTTTAACTAAAGTATTTGTGCTTTGGAATTTCTGAGTTCACACCTGAGAGAGTGATATTATCATTCTTGTTAAACAACAGGTGCTAACTGACTGACTGAAATAATAAGTTTTGTCACTGTCCGTTGTTTCGCCTCTTTTGCTAGGCTACAAACAAATATCACATCTAGGTTTTACTGATCTGATTTTGTAGTTCTGTTCAGTGTGATCCACATTTTGGCTCAAAAACTCCACACGCTGATTAGAAAACATGTGAGAGGGATAATTCAGATGTCAAAGTACATTCAGGTGTGGCACGATCACATCTCCAGCTCTGTGAGTTTCCTCTCTGACAGCTGGGTGTGTTGGTTCCCAGGTCGACTCAGATTAAAACCTACTCGTGGGACAACGCCCAGGTGCTGCTGGTAGGAAACAAGTGCGACATGGAGGATGAGCGAGTGGTGAGTGGAGAGAGAGGCCGGCAGCTGTCTGAACACCTTGGTGAGTTCACAGCACACACACTGTACAAACACTGTATATCTATGACTCATAGCTGTGCACTGTGACTATGATGTATTTTTTCATCATTCCTGAACTTTAACTTTGCCCTTTCTTATGAAGCTGTTGCATTTGATTTTGGTTCCTATAGGCCATGCAAACTCTGAGAGTAATACCTTTTGATGAGCCAAGAAGGAGTTCACATACAAGCTCAGTGACTGTTTATATATCCTGCATTTACATTATGTTGGCAAAAAGGGAGGGACAAGAAAAACATTCCAGCCTGAGAACAATCAATCAAACACTGTATATGGACCATGTGAATTCAGAGCCTGGATTGAATGAATTCGAACTTATTTAATCAGTGTTGGGCTCTGTTTTAATTAGTTGGTGTGATTGTGTCATTGTTAATAATCGGGCTGATTTTGATCTAACTGCTCCTGATGATGGCTTTGCTGCCATTTTGCCAGGTACAGAGTTATGAAGTAAATTAATTAATTTATGTTCATTTGGATATACTGTATAATCATCTCAAGACATTCTATATAGTAAGGTCACCCTCATTAAACCTCCGATCCTCTCCCGTACCCTCTTTCCTCTGCAGGGTTTGAGTTCTTTGAAGCCAGTGCTAAGGACAACATCAATGTGAAGCAGACCTTTGAGCGCCTGGTCGACATCATCTGTGAAAAGATGTCTGAGAACCTGGATGCTGGAGATCCTGCCGTCACGGGGGTCAAACAAGGGCCCCAGCTGACAGAGCAGCCTGCTCCACCGCACCAGGACTGTGCATGTTAAAGCTGACTACTTCCCCCAAACCCTTTTCATCCCTCTTCCTCCTTCTTCTCCTTCAGCTGGATCCCGGGGCCTCAGGTCCAAACTCCATCACCCTTTTCACTTTCTCTCCTGCTTCTTTCTGTAACCTAGTAAGGATCAGTGGCTGATGGTCACAAGAACCAGGTTGAAAAGTGCCTGAAATGCTCTGAGATGCTGGAGGACCAGTGCTTGAGGTGTGTTTGCTTCTAGTTCCTCTACATAAAGTTGTCTGTTTTTTTCAGGCAAGTTCTGTCAAACTGGAGTGTTTCAGACTCTTTGCAGCCCAGCTTCTTGAAGGCTTCTGACCCATCTTTTGTTGTTTCCTCATTCTTCAGTGTAGTTTTACAAGAAGGATTTGACGGCGTCCATCCTCTGAGTGCCATTTAAATCCTTCAGATGTTTACAGTGCTTTGTTTCATGTCAGTTAAATCTGTTGAAAAGATGTCAGCCTTGGATATGGAGATCAAGAAAATCACAGTGGAGTTATGTGAGTGGGATTATCCAGGTGAAAGCTGCTCCATACCAGTACCTGTTATGTTTCTTATATGATTCTGGACTCAGCAGAATCAAACATACATGTACAGTATCTGTGTGACTTTTTGTTGGTATGGATACTACAAGTATTAGCAAATATTTTGTTATTCATTATTCATCGGAGCCTTTTCATTTGGCCTTTTTTTTAAACTGTATTTGTTTCTTCATCACTTTGTTTTGTATGCCCCATTTATTCTTTTAATACATGAAACACTGGGAAGGGGAGAATATGAAAAAGACAAAACTAGGTTAAAAAAAAAGCAAAAAACAAAGAAACACATTTTATTTACTTTTGATATTTATTTGAAATGTACATATTTTGTGCAATATATAATATCTACAGGTATGCATTTCTGGAAATGAAGTTTAAAAGAAATTAATTTCTATGAATATAGTATCAAATATAAAAGATCTATGCGGTCAGGTTTTCTTTGGAAGAGGTGTGGAATCATTTGCACCAGTGGCACCTCCTCCATGAGTCGCTTCATGTCCCTGTTGGTTTGGTGTCATGCTGCTTTCCAGAGATGCTGCAAAGTCTGAAATTCACACTTCCTGGGGGAAAAAAGCTGTGGAATGGCCCTTTAAATGCAAATTGCAAACCAGCTACTTAACATGTTTATCATCCACCTGAATCCACTCACTGCTGCTCATGAAGTGTAACACCTTGGCACTCGCTAGAGAAACTTTGCACTGCATCAAGTCAGACAGTGAGTGTAGTGAAGCTGACATCAGAAGGTTTTAAGCCTTCTGAAAGCCAGATTTAGCAATAAAATTGTAATTAGGGTGGCAAATGTTCTGATGCTCCCAGTCCCAGCAGCCTCAACATGGTAATGTCCCTGCTGTCACTGACAATGTAAAAATAAAAAGATAACACTGAGATTATCTGACATGTGCATTGTCCAACACAGTTCAGTTGTACTTGCTAACAGTGCTACACGCTGACATTACAGTATTTTATCAGATCAGGCAGAGAAGATCCTGCAATTACACAATCTGTTTTTGTTTCTGAGAAAGACCACTGTATAGCATGAAGGCTAAAGCTATATGAGACTTGACTGTTTAGTATTCATCTCCCTGATAGTCATAGCTTTACCAAATATCAAATATCCCTGTAACAATGGTTATTCAAACTTTTTTCTCTGAAAAAAAGGTTGAAATGTCTTTGGAGAGTGCAAACAATGTTATACTGTTAGATTTTTAGGTTTGTCTTAATATGATAGTTTGAGCCTAGTGAGTGAAAGAAAACACAAAGAGAGAAAAGAACAACACTGAAACTACCACAACAATGGCAGTTTTTAAAAATTCTAAATAAATCAAAACTAGAGGCACTTTGATTGACTCCAATAGTCATTGTACAAGGGTTTGTCTTCCTGGTGTTAAGACCTCAGAGAGCGAAAATCATACTGACACACAGTCCAGGATGGTGGAATTTAAATCTAGTTTGCATTGATTGGATTCAGTGTGGTACTGTGTGTTTGCAGCTTACTGTAAGTGTCTTTCGTATGGCTAATGGCATTTTTTGAGAGTCTGAGAGACATTGTTTTATCTCTGAGCAAAAGAGAAAATGTGTCAAATTGCACACTGACTTTCAGTGCTTCTCTGTTTAATGACAAACTCTGCTCATAATAAGACTTCTTCAGAATCAGCATTACAGAGCAGCTTTATTAGATGCTGGTGAACTCTTGTGTGGATGTCAGTGTCTGATAGTGTGTAACATTATTGATGCTCAGTCTTCAGGTGACCTATGGACACTGCCGATTCATGTCAAACAAGCATCAAACACCTGGAGGCTTAAAGGTTCACAGACCAGGCAGCTGCTGAGTTTCTAACACTTGTTTTGAGCCAGTGCATGTGTTAAATATTCTGCTCTGAGGTTTCCTTGGTTCGAGCAACATTGTGTCACCACACCACATTTCTATCAGGAAGTATTGATGTAGTTGTTTTGATACAGTTTCCACAGTTAAAACTGGTTTGCAAGGCATTCCTTCTTTTCACTTCACCAAAGATTGCTGTAGAAGCAGCTGCCTGTTTTTGCTGTAGGATGCCAGACAGAGCACCGTGACCAATTTTAAAAGTTTGAAATTGTAAATAATAATCAGTAGAGCTTTGTGGTTTGATGTGAACCCTCCCCATTCAAACATAAACTCATGTCATTTTTATTCAAGGCTTGCTAGTGTGCAGTGCAATTGTAACATTTCACATGTTGTTGTTTCAAGTTAAAGAAGATGAGATTCGTGGACTGAGAGGGTAAATCAAAATTATGGACTTCATAAAGTCTGCAACTGATTATTTGAATCAAAAAACAATTTATTTTTTGAGTAACTGTTGCATGAGTTAACTGCCAAGTGTAGCATACAACCTGAAATTACAGATGACTGTTACTGTTAAATATAATGACATAAAATGAGCCCCCAGTCAAAATGTCCCAGAAAAGTAGTGATGCAATCATCTAGTATCAAGAAAGGAAGGAAATAGAGATTTGGACAGGAATTATCATTACAACCCTGAGAGATATTCTACTTCCTACTGATTGTGACTGTTTATTTTCTGGTAAAACCAAACTTTTAAATGGTTGTCCTTTCCAATATGTCTTCCTGTCAGTATAAACCAGATCTGTAAATACTGTACCTTTGAATCCTATATGTGAGTTGTGTTGTATTGATTCAGGCTTGCAACAAAAAAAAAAGAGGAAAAAAGATGAAAAGCCCTGAAAATCCCAAAAGAGCCATGTTGTATGTATATGCTTTTATTTCAGGCCTGCTTGTGAATGACTGTGTCACTCAGTTACAAAGCAATACACACTACAGTAGCTATACAAAAAAGTAATGCCACCAAGCTTGGGCGAGGTAGCCCACTTCAGATCCTCTACAGGCATGCAGAAACGTAACTTTATGTGGGCTTGAATCACTGCCTCTTCAGATCCTCCTCAGTTTGGGTCATTAAGGTGAAAGAATATGCTGTGGATGTTTTTATCTGTACTTTGTGGTAAAACAATAAAAACTTGCTAACAATCAGCTGACTCTTGTTGTTATTGAAGATTTTATACTTTGTATGCCTTTAATGAGAAGTGAAGTGACTGTAGTGAAGTGGACTATTTTTTTTAACCCAGACAGTAAAGTGAGATCCAGATTCAGTCAAAATAATCAAATGTTTTTGGTGTTATGAAAGTTCAGTCATCTAGAGTTAGCATTTGGATGCTGCTGAAATCAGTGTCAAGATGTCAGTGTTTCACTTTTTCTGGCAGACAATAAAAAAGGAAGTATTGCCAATCAGTCAAATTCACCGGAATGGACAGATAGGATATTTTTAAAAGCAGAGTGAAATATACCTATGTAAAGGGGAAACTATGCAGTATACAATATTAATTTACCGAATGCTTCAGAAAAATGTAATAATATGTTATAATGTGCTAGTTTTTGCATGTCTTTCAGTCCTAATTATCTGGAACTGTGGTTACAAAAGAACAACACTGAAATTGAAAGGCCTATTACCATTACTTTATCTAACCCTGATGTTAAAGGACATTCCCTGATGATAACAGACATTCATTTAATAACATTATATTGCAGGGGACCCCATCTAATCTGATTGAATTTTTGCCCTAGTTAGAAATTAATAACACTAACACACCAGTCGTACTTATCTATCTTCACAATACAGGAAGTGAAACAAGTGAGATGAAGCTAGTCCTTATTTAAATGCATCTTAAAACAGTTTGACAGCCTGGCCTTCTTGTAAGCTTTTATCATGCTTTTTCTAAATGTGTGTACTTCTCCATTTGTGTTTTAGCTGTGTCCTGTGGCGTATATCATTATCATTTGACATGTCATCATTGTTTTGTTCTTATTCTCTGTACTTGGTAAGTTTTAGAAAGGTGCTCTATAAATAAAGTTTATTATTACCATGAAGACTCTTCAATGGCCTTCAGGAGGTTACTACACCCCACTTTTCCATAAAAAAATGCCCCTTCATTTCCACTAAACTGTCCCTTCGATCATTTGTGCAGCATTTTCTGCAGTTTCCCAGTTAACCAACAGGGGGCGAAAAACACCAAGGTGATGCAGATTTCCTAGATTTCCACTTAGGAGACCAGAGATCCTGCTGTTACACATCACTGACTTCACAGGCTCCATCAGAAGGGAAAGCTATAACCTACAATACCATGTGTTATTGTCTTTATACAGTTTAATAACCTGTAACTTAATTAAAAAAAAATATCCCTGCATAGTTTCCTAACTTATTTTAGGCTAATGAAAGACAAAATAAATTCTTCAGTCAATCCAGACCAATGAACAACACATGTAGCTCAGTACCACTGCACCTCCAACATCTGGTTTTTTGTTGGAAACACTGACTTTAGAAACATGCATGCAAATAAACAGTCACCAAATTAGAGGAAACAGTGTTTATTGTCGAGCACCATTTAATTCAGAACACAAATAACTGTAAAGCCAAATACCTGTAGGCTAGAGGTGACAACAGACTCTGCAACAAAAGGGTTACAACTTATGTTGAAATGGCGACACAGTACAGTAAAAAACAAATAAATACATGTTTGTATAGGATAATAAAGATAATAAACACTGGTTACACCCCGTGGCACCCAACTATGGGCAACATTCCAGTTTGTCAGTAACATGCAAATTGTTCCCTACAGATGCTAAATAAATAGATTTCATTTACATTTCAAATGTGGGCATATATGCATTTTTCTAACAGCCAATTCGCGATATATTAAGGATATGTGTGTCATAAATGTGCATATTATAGTAGAAATGCTGTACATCTGTTTGGTCCAGGTTTGAGACTGACACAGCCAGTCTGTAAACATTTATACAAAAAAACAAATGTAGATATGTGCCGCCTGTCATTTAAACTGAGCATATAGCTCCTGACAAGTGCCTCTTTTCCCCCCGCCAGGAAAGCTTTTAGCCAAACTCCACTGACAAATCTGGCAGTTTAATGCTGCCGTGTTCACCAGTAACCATATATACGAGGTAGAGCAGGACGTCATACAAAAAACGCATGAAAGGCAACAGCTTTTTATTCCGGCATCAATAAAATAAACCAATCGGTCACTGTTGATTGTTTAAAACTCCAGTGATTCATACTGACTTATTTTACTTATTTTCCCCACTCTGTGGAGCAATGTGATTTCTGGAAATTGTTTCAGGAATAAAAACAAAACTTGTCCAAATTATCTGCCGATTATAGCAGAAAAGTCTCATGATCATTTAGCATATATTATGCTCTACATTTTACCGATGGTCAGAGCATTTTAAACAGCTAATTATTAATGTACAGCTTGGCCTAGGTGGCCCGGTATTCATCCCTAGGAACGGCACACGTCTGGGCTAGGCTACATACAGAAATGCCAACATTAACCGAATAAACGAAGCTTATGTGCTGGTCAGTAGCCCAGTCTTTCTCTCTGACTAGCATCAGTGCACCTGAACTTCGTGTGGCAGCAGCTGGCAGCCGCTGTTCACATGAGTGAGGACTTTCTGTTTCAACTGGGCCACTTGCTCCCTTAGCAGACTAGCCGTGGAGGCCAAATCGGTGTTCTGGCTTTTCAGCGTTTTGACCTTGTCCTCCAGCCTGGAGATCCGCTCCAGTTTGCGCCTCCGACACTTGGAAGCTGCAATCCGGTTCCTGAGCCTCTTCCTCTCGGCTTTAATGCGCTCCTGTGTGTCCATGTCGATGGGAGACTGCGGCGGGCTCTCCCCGTAGCTCTGAACGTCAGGCACCGTCTGAGGCTCCTCCTTCAGCGGCTGGGCACGAGAGATCTCCGGCGATCTCCGGCGGCGGCGGGGCTGTCCCCAAATGATGTGACGGGACAGGCGGGAAAGGGACCGTGTCCGTGGAGTAGTTGGCAGTGGTTCCTAGTGGCCCACTGCCGTAACTGTTCAGGTTCGTATATACCGGTAGGTCCGGCTGGGCGGTCCTCGGAGCGATGTTAGCGCCCATATCCAGGCTGTTGTTCGTCTGCCCGGCTCCGTTCAGCTGATTCTGCTTGTGTAAGTCCTCCAACGCCTTCACGAAGCCCTCGGCGAACTCCTGCTCGTCTGTTACCGTTTTCGGGTAGAGGAACTGGGAGCTGGTCGGTGTCGTGGTGACCATGCCGTTGGACTGTATAATTAGCCTCTCGAGCTCCGGAGAGGCCAGTTTGAGCAGCCCCAGGTCCGGGGAACTGAGGATGCCCTCAGCATCGCGGAGATTAGGTTTGAGGTCTGCATCGTCTGCCAGACTCAAGTTAATATCCTTCTTCATCATTATTTCCGTGGGTACAAAGATAAGTCGTGCTGCTCTGTACTCCTTCAGAACGATGCCCTGGCCATAACCTCGCAGAAATAAACTATAATATAAAATATATTTACTTAATAGCTATTGACTGAAAGTGCTCGCACAATTCAGCTGTGGAGCAGTCTCAATGTGCACGCCCGCGCCCACCGCCTCGAGCTTATCTAGGCTCGCACGTTCCATTATGTCACATTAGAGCGCGCGCATTGGGCAGAAATGACGTTTTCCAGATTTTATTTGAATAAAGGAACCAGAGACGGGGCGACAGGAGAGAGGTCTTACTCTGCGTCTTAATCCAGGGTCGGGCTACAGCCTTAGTCAGGAAATAATGGGTGTACCCCTATATCAAGTCAGTTATATTATATTTAATCTTTTCTCCCAGTACACCCGCGACAGTGTTATTTTATACAAGGCACTTCTGTTCAAATAACGCTTTTCATAAACATGGCAAGTGCTTCACATGATGCAAAATATTATAAGAACAGGAATAAGCAGAAGTAATAGAACAGAAACTGATAAAAGTAATAGTAGGGCAAAACGCATAGCATTTCATTAAGAATAAAACCGCATTACAATAACTGGTAGTATATGCCTAATGATAAAAGCCATCCCTGGTAGGCTAGTGGTTCGAATGAGGGTTGCGTCAGGAAGGACATCCGGGGTAAAACACGTGTCAAATGTCAACATGCGAGTCGTCAGTGTGACGATTCGCTGTGGCGACCCCTAAAATGCGAAAAAGCCGAAAGTGACTTTCTTTCTTATATGCCTAATGATAAAAAATGGCCAAATGAAGTGTTGCTCTAAAATGTCATCGAACGCCATGGTAAACAAATCCATTTTCAATTTAGATTCAGAAGTTGTCTTTTTTCTGGGATCTTCGGTATGTTCCAGATGTGAATAGCACAGAGGCCCCAAGTAGAAAGAATCACAAGTGGAATAGAATAGAACAGAACAGAATAGACTTTATTATCCCCACGGGGAAATGTGGTTTGGGTTGCATGTGACTGCTTCACAGAAAGCAAAATATTCAAAACATTACTCACATTCTCATCTAGCAGCAATGACGTTATAATAAACAGACAATAAAAGTAGACCAAAGCTGGCTAACCTGAGAGATCTGGAAGGTTGACAGTGTACACACTTGATAGCGTGACACACTGGCAACCAATGCAGTGATCTGAGAACTGATATCCTGGCAATACTGCTGTAAAATATCTTCTACCCCTAAACTGCTGCTCTTATCTGCTTATCTGCACATGGAGGAAATAATATTATTTGTTTCCATAGGCTATCAATTATATTTATTTTGTAACTGGCTACAATTTCGGAGTTACAAAACACAGATAATGCCTAAAAGTTAAAAATAAAAAGCATCACAACAGAATATATGATTATTACTTGGACTTTATGACCCTGCACCCACATGGGTGTCTTCACAGATTTTAGCTGTTCTGTATAAGATTTCTACTCTGTCCAATCACAAGAGCAAATTTCACTTTGTATAGAGCTGCTTGTTTTCTGAATAGATGATCTTTGGCACCAGTTCTATTGCCATGGAGAGGAGGAATAAACTACAAACAGAAAACACTTACACTGATGTTTGAGATTGTTTTCATACTACTGTACAGTAATAGGCCTATGTTCAGTACTAGGAATGATGTTTTCACCAGTTTAACATTTTTTTTAAATATTCATGTAAGAATGATCATTGCTAAACTGTGTGATATAATGGAAACTTAGCTCACATTCTTGATGTTATTCTCCGTTCAACGTTACCCACCATGACTCCCCAACACACACTGAACTAATAATTTATGTATCTATGGATTTTATTGTGCAATAAGCAGCAAATATTGCATTCACAATTGGAATACTTTATATTATATGTATGCCTATTTAAGTTATATATTTATTTTTCTTACTGTTGTTATTATTTCTTTACTTGTCTTGATATTTTATTGTTCTTATAATTTGATTATTCTAATTGTTATTGCTTAAAACTGCTGCATAATTTTCTATTTCCCAATGTGCTGTAACACCATGACAAAACCATATGTATGCTGTACATTTGGCAATTAAAGCAATTCTGATTCTGATTATACATATGTGTGGTCAAGACAACAGTTTATGTCTCCTGAGGACAGGCTGTCCACTTTAGTTTTCTTAGCCATGACACTGTTTACTTTATTTTTGCACATGCAAATTTAGAGAAGTTGACTCGGAAACTGGTTTGCTTTCCGGTCAGTTCACAGTTTCACTTTGTTTCTGAGTCGGATCTGGTCTCACAACCAACACACACATCTAGTTGCAAAGTCACATGATAATTGCAGTTTAGGCACTTTCACTCATTTTTCCATTTTCCATTACAGAATTCACAATTTCACATTCAGTTTTTAAATTCAGATCAAATTGCAATCAATTTTTTAATTTCAGTATTTTGTTTTCCCTTTTTAACATTTAATGACATGATTCACTTTAAGAATCTAAAATGTACTGTATTACAGCTGTCTCTTAAGTGGATTTGTTCTACATGTCCAGGGATTAATGAGGTGGAAACCTTCAGTGTTTGATGAGCACTTCACATAATGGAAGCACTGTTTGTCCACGGTTGGTACAATTTGTCAGGATTGCCCAGATGAACCTCTTCCCTTTTCATGCGTCGTTTTGTTGAATCTATAAATAGGCAGATGCAGCCAGAGAATCCAAATTCAATTTAATAATTTAAAAATGAAATATTCAATAGACAAAGCTATTTAGGACCAAATATCTTGGGATAATGGCCCTTCTTTCCTTCAGTACCAGTCTTCTGGCTTGTAAGGGGTTACACGCAGAGGAGCTATGTGCGTCAGAGGTAGGCCCCATCCATCACGCAAAGCATTGTGCGGGTGGATCACGTGATGGACCCTGTGATGTCAGATCTCTTAACGCTGTGGCGGAAATGGAGGTGGGGGGAGTAAACCATCAAAGGAGAGATATTTTTGTCTAAAAACTGAGTATCAGTGTAGAGAGAGTGGGGGTGTGGAGCCTGCAGTCAAAAAAAGAAAAGCCAGACTGGAAAAGGATGTACCATTCTCTTACGCACACTTTCATTTCCTTTTCCCTTATAACCAGTACAAACTGTGGGACAATAGTTAAACATGACAAAACTGAAGCTTTGATCATACTAATTGTTCATACATTCCACTGAATTTCATATAAATTGGTTTTTAACATGTTGTGCTTGTCAGGTCAAATAACTCCTTACAGCAGTATAGTTTAATTTTCAATGTGTAAAATAACACATAACCCAGGCCTTTCTTTGGTGAAACTACTGTTGTAAACAGAGCGTATAGATGGATTATATAGCAGGAGTGGTTTAATAAGTATCGTGACATTTTTTCAACTTTAAAACATTTGTGGTTGGTCAATATGTATTGTCATCAGTTGTAACCAATATAACGTGGCTGCATGAAAGATGAACTTCAAACAACATTTTGCTTTATTTGACACTGATATGCAGTATGTGCTGCATTGTTGACCGTTTTCCAAGGTCTCTGCCTTTAGAGAATGGTGAAACCCAGTTTTCAAGCAAAGCCCCAACCAACTAAACAGATGACTTTTCAGAGATTTGAGATTTTCGATGGATAGGTGAAAGCTTAAAATTTTAAACTGTTGGTGTATTAAAATACACTGGTTGGGATGAAGATTTTTCACATTCATTTTACAATTAGTGCATCATATGGCAGCGAAAAGATCTAAATTCAAATACAAGGCAGCATGAGTTGAAGGGTAAATTCAATTCACAACAAATGTAATCTCAGGACACTATACAAAGTATGATCTTACTATTGTTATTATTATAGAGGAAAAACCCAACAAATCCATCTTGAGCAAGCCCCTGGCGACAGTGGGGAGGAAAAACTGCCTTCAATGGAAGAAACCTCTGACAGACTCAGACTCTTGGGTGGGTGGCTTTCTGCCTCGACCAGTTAGGGTGAGTGGATGGAGGAGAGAGAAAAGAGAAGAAACAAGACACAATAAACAAAACAATTCAACAACACTGGGCACGTTGATATGACTAGGGCTGATTCAGGTCTCTAGCAATAATTTTCATCGGTGACTGTTGGTTAAAGCTGCAAGTCAAGACACAGCTGTCAGGAATGCTTGGCATCAGTTGGAACGATGCAACATCCACTGTGCTGGAGCCAAGAACAGATCAGGAATGTTTTATGCTGCACTGAGCAACATGTGATTAATGTGTGGTTTGTATTTGTAGCATTATGTGTGATTCATGGAGACAGGTAGAGGAGATAAGATCCCTTTGAAAATATTAATGAGAATTTCATTTCTTTTGTCAGTCAGAAACTGTAACAGTTGGTTTGGCAAGTGAACATGGATGTAATTAAATATTGTATAAGCTTGTAAGGCATTCTTTCAAAGTAGTTAACTAGATATACTCTCATGTCTTGATCCTGACTAACAATGATAGAGTGCTTGAATGATATGACTCTGTGTGGGCAGGTGTGTTAAAAAAACAGATGTCAAACAAAATCATATCTTACACGTTTCCTTTTGTAGCACTTACTGTATCTATAAATCTCTCCGGCTTCACATTTATTGTTCTATATTTAGCAATATTGCAATATTCATTTCCCTTCACACAGCAACTGGCCAGAAGAATGTGTCCTTCTCACTCAAACACTCCATTTTCATTCATTGTACAACTATTTCTGTTGCTTTTCATGTTTACAACCTAGTGTAACTATGGATGATGCTTAAGGAAAGACAAAAGTATAAACCCTTTCCCCATTTGCAGTACACCAATATTGGGTCTCACCTCTGTCTATGATGGCAGGCTTTTCATGGCATGGAGTGTGGCTGTTCAGAACAGTCACCATTAATATATGTATGTGTCATAAGCATCTAATAAAGATTTCATCATGAAAAACCTACAATGTTAATGTAAATTGGTGCAGTGGTTAGCGCTGTCATCCCAGAGCAAGACAGTTCCAGGTTCGAGCCCAGGCTGACCTGAGGCCTTCCTGTGTACACTCTCTGGGTACTCTGGCTTCCTCCTGCAGTCCAAAGACATGCAGCTTAGGCTGACTGGTGGCTCTAAATTGCCCATAGGAGTGAATGTGAGTGTGAATGTGCCTTGGAAGGAACATTATTCTCATGAGATGAATGGAG